GTGGTGCCTTGGGGGTGGCGGACGGCTTGGGCTTGGACGGGGTGCGCGTGGAGGTCGACTGGCGGCGCGCCCGCGATCGCTTGGGGGAATCCTGGTCATCGTACGCGGGGACCTGAGGAGAGGAGAAATAAGGATCAGCGGGTGGCCTTGCCTTGCGTTGAGACGACGACGGCTGGCGACGCGGCTGGGCGTAACTGTCCCGTTTGGGCGTAACGGGCGGTCGGTCATCGAACACATCATCAACCACATCCACGAAGATGGAGGGGCGACATTGTGCCGACGCATACGGTGTCTCATGGAAATGATAACCGGTCTTGTCCCAGAGGCCGGTCGCGCTGGACCTGGCCCGGGGACGACGACAGGATGAATAACCACCAGAGAAAGCACTTACATTCTCGTGCTTGCGTGGCGGCGTGCCATATTCCGGCATCGCTTCATAGAAGCTCTGGCCATAGCCGGAATGCCATGCTCCTGACTCCCTGGGGGCGGCGTAGCTGGCCTTGCGATTGTGGCGCTTCGACGTGCCTCGAGGAGAAACGTAGGGATTCGCAAATTGTGTCGCGTAGTAGGCGTAGTGAGGAGACGTGGGAGGAGAGTTCATGTAATCGAACGAGGACCACCCAGGTGGTGGTGAAGCGTAGTGATACATTATCGCCAGAGCATGGAAAATCGAGGCGCTAATAAACCGTGGCCACGAATGAATATAAACGCTTGTAAATAGTGATTTCAAAGCAAATAGCAAAAAGTCTCGCGATCAGAGAAACAGCTCAACAGACGACTGGAAACAAAAACAACCCAGAGTATATTGTACAGGATATCGTTCGAAGCAAGCCGATCGACGCCGGTGATGAAACGAGATAGCGAACACCGCAAGACCTAAAGATGAGGACCGTCACCGCGGTACGGTTTGCAGGGGAGAGGAGGGTTGAAATTGTGTTTGCTGAGAGTGCATTTGAGCGTCGTCGGTTGACCGATCGCTGAGTCAAGGGGCTATGTATTCCTTTTCGTCGTCACCGAGCTTCACACACAACTCTCTCAGTGTGGTGAGAATTCCAGCTGAGCGATATTCCCAGATATTATACCTAGAATACCGAATCGTCTAGTGGCGAGTTCGAGTTTCTAATGATGCTAGTCCTCGGCACCTGACCCAAGAACTATTCAGAGGTTATTTTGTCACCGAAAGGACAACGTGGAGGATAAATATAAACCCAAGTAGGGCGGATAGGTTTTGGTGCAAAGGGGGGTTTCGATGGGATATCGCTTGGTTTTGTAAGAATCAAGGCACCGGCCGTGGCATTAACAACGAAATATGCGGGTGTGGTGGGGCTGTATCTCTCAGGTATTGGGGGTTAATGAGGTAATAACCTATGTACTTCGTAATCTTCGTCTTACTGTACTTCGGCTCAACTTGTTTTTTAATTTTTAGTTATTTTACGATTGGGCGCGAGGCGAGAAAAGAAGATCAGAATTCTTGACTGGATCCAACTTGACATTTCTGGGCCCAACCACAGTGGCTGAGGGAAAGGGAAAAGGGGCGCCTATCTGTTCTATGAATCTCGTCCAGCTGTGGGTTTCTGATGCTTTTATATCGTATGCTTGGGATTTGATAGTTTTATATGCAGGGTCAGCTACGTAATGATTTCTTCCAGAGTGCCATCGAGTCATCCTACATCATCGCCTTTCTAGGTGCGTTCGAGTCATCTTGATTCCTGATATTGTTGGGCATCGTATATCGTTAGTATTCTGAGGGGCTAAAATGTCGCTTCTCCTAGCAAGAGAGGACAGGGTTCGGCTCGAAGTTAGGCCTTCAATCAACCAGTCAATATGGATGTTCCACCATCGCAGCATCATAAGAGTCATTCTGACTCATCTACTTGGTAGTTTTGTCTTTTGTAGTTCATATGATACCTATATCAACGGCATCTTCATGTGCTTCTTCCCCTGCCTACCACTGGAGCCTGAAGTCGCAACCTATATGAGTCAATCCTACTATTGCCACTGTGGCTCAGCTGATTGTGATCACGGTGCCATTGGAGAAGATACAGCTGAATACTTGGAACTCTAGATCTACTTATAGATAGACTCGTTCAGATGGTGACCTTAGAGCTGCATCAGGGCCTCGAGTGGCTGCAACATGCTGCATGCTATGCTCAGCCTTGGGTGGACGATAGGAATGGTAATCATCCTCGTGCAACGCGACACAAGATAATAGGAAGTAACTATCTACTGCATACAAAATATATCCAATGTCCAATGTCCAATGTCCAATGTCAATATAAGGTACTGGAATATGATGGGTTGTCCCATGGATTTCCTACGGGTCACTCCCGAGCGCTATCCATGGTTCAGCTTCAGTATAGATAGCAGACTATTTTCTTTGATGGTTGCTTGATTAGAATTTTGCTCTCGAGTGGAGCCATATGGCAAATTTTTTTAATCCTGATTACTGACGACAGCCTTTGTAGCTTGTACAAAGTACGACAACTTATTGGGCAACAGGCGACAGGCAGCAGGTGGTCGATGGGCTTTACCGCTGCGACCAGCTGGGCAGCAACCCGGCAACGGAAATGGGCAGACCGCAACTTGGTTAGTATCAGGTTGATCAGAACGAACAGCAGGAGAGAAAAAGTCTTTTTTTAAAAAAAAAAGGTTTGACTCGGTTTCAGTTGAAGGGGAAAAAATAATCTATCCGGATCCAGGCTATTGGGTAGATAGTGGTAGATAGGACAGTACATGTGACTCGTCCGCACTCAAAAATATACAATATTGCACCTGAAAATGTTGCACTTGCGCTGCACAGGCACAGCTGATCTCAGCTGCCTTGCGACCAGCTTATTCGACAACAGGAATTGAAAGTCTTCTAGAAGATTTCCCAATAGTCAGATTAACTGGCTTGAGATGTGTAAACTAAGTATGAAAGAAGAAAAGAAAATCAGAGGCCACTATTGATATAGACAATTCCCGCGCACCAATAGGAGGCATCTATTTACCATCCTCTTGAGATAAATCCAGAGCCAAAATTAATCCAGACTGGGCCGAGACCCCTGAAGCCCAGGCAGGATATTTCTTCAATCTCGGTCTGATAGCTCAAGGACAGGCTTTTTGACGTCGTACAGGGCGTCAAGTTTCCATGTGCAAGAAGATGAGTGCAGCTTCACATTGCTGATCAATTCCACGAACCTAGTTGAAGGAATATCACACTCTTGAAGTAACCAATTCATAAGCATTGAATGCAGCGAGTCAGACCGAGACCCGCTAAGACCTTGTAGCGTCGGCGCCAACGGCTCAAGTGCAGATGGATGTCATCATTCGAAGGAACGGAACTTGACTAGCACACGGAGTATGGAGGAGACTCCACTTCCTTAGCTTCATCCAGGATCCAACAGGATCCAGTTATCCAGTCTAGTCGACGGAATACAGAACCAGAGATTCATTCCATCTCGGAATTAATCTGTGGGTGAAAACAAGACGACTTACAAGTACCATGCACTTGAGTTCTCTCCGATAGAGGTGCAGGACAGTTCTTCCCGTCTAGGTAGGCAGGCAGCGACAGAAATATCAGAGCCCCGTAGGAAATGCAATACACTGCGAGTTTCCTACCAGTCAGACAGACAGACAGAATTTTCACCATCCCTTGCTTGTTACAGGGTTAAACGACTAGAGACATTAATATAACTGACTCTTCCTTTGCTCGATAGTACTCGGTATTATGATTTGGAATCCCGCTGGTGAACAATAATGTGTGGTTGTATAGCTTATACTCCCCTTGTTATGCACACGGCCCAGGTCCTGGTCATAACTACACATGGCTGGTAATCCATGTATCGAAAGTACCAGGCTGTACCAGCTTGTACGAGGTTGTTCTATTGTACTTGAGTTCTTCACGGCGGCAGTCCTGCATACTCCATCACATTTTTCAGCAATCCAAGTTCTGACGAATTTAATGGACACTCAGTTCTTGGCTTTGTGTGTTTATTATTTTTTCAGTAAGTGAGATAGTTGTTTGGATTTGGAATTCTTCTTGTATGTATTTGTTGCTCTTGTTTGAAACACAGCGCGTCGGAATGAGCTTACAGGAATTCCAGAATGGGACTGCGCGTTGGTGTATCTAGGGCTGCAGTGTTGCCCTTGCCCTATGCCCTACGCAATGTTTCAAAGAATGTGAGATCATCCTCCAAATTAGGAAGCATTGACGTTTTACTCCCATCCCATAATGAATTAGATACTGGATAAGTCTTTTTGTGGCTTAATACTTAAGAAAAATGGTCGAGACAAAATATTGACTTAAGTATCACTAGGCAAAAGTGGAGATAGATATATCTCTCTTTAGTACTCCGTAAAGCACGGCGAGTCATTGATGCGGAGAATGATGAGATGTGGATATCATAAAGCATTCAGGGTCACTGCTACCTCTCCCTGTGAGCTCAATCTATCATAAGGGAGTTGTTAGTGATATGAAGAATCAGTGATGTCACAAAAAGTAGAAAAGTCTAAGTAACTTACCCTGATACGTCTAGGGAAGTATGTCAAAACAGCTCTATTCACCTCAATTCCAGCTTCAAAGCATGGACATTGCAGAGCAGCATCTATGATCTGGATTCCTTCATTACTCATACCGCAAAGCAAGCCCACTGGTAAAGCAAGAGGGAAGTATAAGTCATGCTTGCTTAGGCGTTGCTGGCATGTGATAATGAAACTAAAAGGTAATCAATGGCAAGAAACGCTTTTCATAATCTGTCTTGAAAGTATCAGATGAGGAAGAAACGAATGATCTGAATTAGCCAGAGGACTTCTCCTTACCCAGAGACTTGACTGCAAAGAGACGCCGTGAGTTGAAATCTCATCTGCAGACTCCAATGCTAATCATCATATCTCGCAAGTACACGGCCTCGAAGCCCGTACGCTTCTGCGTAATGACACCTCGTACATGCGCTGTGGTCTGCCGCACGGGACAAAGCCACACCGGGTACTTGCCGAAGGATAGTCATCGAGGTGGTCCATCAACTGTCTTGCAGCTGCGTAGGGCACGGAAGTCTTGGATAGTGCGCTCCTTCACGAGCCTGCTCCAGAGGCTGAAGAGGAAAGTAGTTGCTGACATGCATGCAGAACCAGGCGCCAGTAGGATGCGTAAATGTCTGCATCTGAACCGCCGCAAGTAGCGGCACGACTTGGATCGTCCGCGCAGATGACATCCTTGGGTTTGCTGAACAAATCCTCTTTATGTATTGGTACGCTGCGTAGGAGTGAGCTCCTCAATTTTGCGTACGGGCTCATTTATACTGTCGAGTAGTCTCATATGTCTCCTGATCAAATCTCTTGCTGAGTGCAGCTAATAGACATGAGTACTGCCTCTCACTACTGCGTGGTGGTAGCTGTTTATTTGGCAAGTGAGAACTTTTATCGAGCAGAACTTGTCGAAAGCTCAACTGAAGTGTTTGTTGGCTCCTCCTCATTGTGGATATGATTGTTGATGCTAATGGAATCTATTCTGTTCCTCGCAATGAGGTGTGAGGTAGAGGAATGACAGCAGTGTCCAGATAGAACGAAGAAGAGCTCAGATGAGAACAACACTTGCTGCTGACTAGCAAATGCACATATCCACATAGATCGATTCCTCATCAGATGCAGTATCTCGATTCTGTCATCTCTTTCGCACTCGATTTATCGAGCAGTAACACTGCAGCATCGACGATGTATATCTGTTCTGGCTGAAACGGCATTATTTTCGCCGGCATCTGTGGCGCCTTAGGGTACCGGGTACTTGCATATCGGTTTCCGAAAATTAGAACAAAAAACCTATCGGGACACAAACACAGGTATGTGTCTGAACTCTGCCCTGACTTCGAAGTCAATAAGCGTTTGTGTTATTTCCACATCCCTGTCCTTATCAGTCTCTGTACCAGAATGTCTATAAACATGAAAAACCCTGAAGGAACAGAGGAGAACCATCGTGTACGAACAGACTAAAAGACGTTGGAGCTTGTCGCAGCGAATAGGATCCGTCCGTCATCTGCATCTGGATGATTTCCAGAACAAGAACGAAAACGACCCCTCATCTCCTGAGGATGGACCAATACACTCGAGTACCGGCAGATGTAGAACCAGAGTGTCATGTATGCTGTACGGTCTTGCCAGTTTGCTGGGCTGCGTGTCTAGCGCAGGAATAAGGCATCAAGTGTGGAGGTCAAGTGTTAGCACCCCGCAAATAAGCGGGTGACACGCTGACGAGCAATCTGTCAGGCTTGAGATGCGTCAGGCATGTTGGCCAACTACCTAATACAGTTAGTTGACTTGATGATTCTCGAAGGTGGTTAATAATTGATGGTCAATCAAGTAATTTGTGATTGGTTATTCATGGAATATCATTATGGGAACAGGCTGTGCCCTCGTACTATGTACAATGAAATTATCAGAAAAGTATGTTCATAAATATTGCATGGATAGTTTTTGTCGCCGTGATCGTCAAAAGCGTAACAGATCATTGACCTTTTGGCGCCCGGGATATATACAACGTGGTGTGGGAGCGGGTTGATCTGGTCAAACCACCAGATACTCTCCCTCTGCTCGTTTAGCTTGCATGAGTTCATGCCAGCGGAAGCCCTGTATTCGCGAACTGGATGTCCCGGGGTACACAGAGCCCCCTCCCGTAAAGAGATCAATGCCCATTACCGCAGAGGGTGCCATCTCGAAGCCGTAAAGCGCTCTGGCGTCCCATTGCACAGACGTTGTTTCGGTATCGCACATGTCATGCGCCCAGATCTTCTCCAGCAACTCTAGACATGTTAGATTGTTGAAGAAACCAGAGTCTTTGGAGATATCTCTGCAGCGCTGTCGAACTGTATCTCGATGGCTCCGGAGTACGCACTCCGATCCGGTGATGAAGAGAGGCCATAGCAGGTACACATCCGACTTGACCAGTGATATATGGTGCATCGCACGGTGCACTAGGTGTTGAAGACGAGGATGACTCGAAGGAAGTTCCGGATAGGCGAGCCGTTCGCTGTAGAGTATTGCCGAATGGCGAAAGGATTCTGAAATGTGGAATACGTCATCCATGTTCTGAGGCGCCACGGCAGACTGCGTAGACGGCGAGGACGGTGGAGAGATGTAGGCTTGAGCGGAAGCAGGAGTCGAGATCTGGACCGAACCACGCGGCGATGTTGATTCCCATCGCGGGGGCGCAAGTCGCCAGGCTTCTAGTTGCTGCCGGAGTGCGAACCACTCGGCCCAGAATGCCGGCGACAAAGATCGGCTGCTTCTCTCAACTGACCACGATTGTATTGGCATGGTAAAGCTGAAGGAGCTGTTCATGCCCGGAATACCGTTGGCCATCGATGCGTCGAAGAGTAGCGATGGCGGTAGAGACGTTGTGGGAACAAACACTTCGGGAAGAGCAGGCGTGCTGACCTCTTGCTTCTGGCTCAGGAGATTCAAGCGACCGAGTTGTGCAATGTACTTGAACAAGCTGGCATCACAGCCAGTCAGATTCTCAAGGCCCCATTCGCTGTCGGAGACCGCAGCAATATCCAGGCATGTGCCGCGCAGCTGGATCTCGCGATCATTGGTCGTGGCAGCCATCGTGTCGTACCAGGTAAACACGCGGATGAACCACTTCAGCTCATCGGAGAGCACCGGCGAGCTGCGCATTCGGAGAGCCAGAAGCTTGGTCACACCTGCGAGTTGCGTTTTGAACTGCGCCACACCTGTGTCGCAGGCGTGAAAGAGACATAGGATGAACAAGGTGGCCAGAACGGAATCGGACATCCTTCGATGGGGATCGGCGAGCTCCATATTTAATGCTTTCACCGCCAAAACTCGATGATATTGCTCTTCGCGGGCGAATCCCGCAGCCGTTAAAGTATCCTGAAAATCTTGGCAGGTTCCATCGGTCAGCGCTCGATGAGCCAAGGAAGACATGCGTGAAGGAAGTGTCCTGTCTGTCGGCATGGTTTTGCTCTCTCGTCGTTGCCGCAGATTGCTAGTGGCCAGCGTTGCGATTGCCTCCTGCAGGGACTCGCTGTCCTGCGCTAGACGCAGAATATGGGTGCGGAACGGATTCGTTGGGCTGTCGAAAGCTACGATGACCGGCGCAATGACTTCCGCATAGTAGCTTATCAAGTATCTCAGACGGGGTGTGCGGCCGACCGATCGTGCAAGAAGCATTTGAGAAAATGACGGGGAATGGCATGCGATCCGTCGAGGATTGCCTGAGGCCTCTGACTCAGTTGAATTTTCGCTAGCTCCTTCAGTGTCCTGGGGGCCATGGGGGCCCTGAGGGTGTGCAGCATTACAAGCTGGTGGCACCTGCCATTGTTCGAATGTAGAAGTGGTTGACTTTGGCCAGCTTCCTGTCCAGGGGTTGTTTTGAAGGGAAGAGTGATAATCCGCCACAAGGACTGTCTGCATATATTGTAACGAAGAGTTCGTCGTGGTCGAATGTCTCAGGGACTCTGTATAAGGAGAACTATTGTTAACAACTGGCGGAGTTCCAAACGAGAAATCAGCCGCTGGAGTCGGCCAGGCTCGCGGGTCCGCGGCCGTTCGCATCCAACTTGCATTCTCATTGGTGTCCGGACTCGGCGATCCCTGCGATTGAGATGTGGCTCTTTCCGCGTTGTCGGAGGCAGCGGCCGGTGATGCATCAGAGGCAAAGGTATATGTAGTTGGCGATGCGACCGGCTGTCCCGACGGATTCTCCTCGCCCCCGGAACGATGACGACTATCGCCAGTCGCAGCTGGTTGCGCTCCAGTAATTGGAAGAGACAATCCACGAAATTTGCCTCGACTGGCAACTCCCACACCCCAGGTTAACGTGGTCTTGTATCCCGCACAATCGCGTCCACGGTTCAAACACTGCGAACAATATGGCCGCCGTCGATCACAGACAGAGCCCTCCCGGGCACATGTGAAGCAGTCGTCCGCTGCACCGCTCACAACAGTCCTCTTTCGTCGTTTCCTGGGAGGAGCGGTGGAGGTCGACGGGGATTTGTGAATCGGGGGTTGACAGGCCGGCTCCATGCCCGCGATCCCAAGATCGGTGTTGGGAATCGTTGCCGCCGTGTGGAAGCAAGGAGGGTGATCGTCAAGGAATCAGCAGGATGGACCCGGAATGCGGGGGTCCATTGATAGTTTATCGGACAGTCGGTAACCAGTAGATGAACGATCGTCGCAGCAGGATTCGGAGGTGTTTGCTGTACTTGTTGAAGTGAGAGGAATCGGACGAAAGGGAAACGAGGTCAGGAAATAGAAGGAGAGAGAAATATCCAGCCGCGTCCAAGGAGAATAAAGATGATGATAAAGTTGAAGTCTAAATCTATTCGGTCTTAGACCGCTCATTCTGCTGTCAGCAGAAAAGCCCCAAGTAGTCACGGAATCGAGGAGGAAGAGAGAGATGGGTTAGCTAATTAAACTAGGGGGAGGTAGTCAAGGCTGACGATGTCGGACGAATTGGAGGTGTGATAGCCTGAGGCTTGATAAGCAATTCGTCTCCAAGACTCCAACTTTTCCCCACGGCGGATTCATCCGCCGCCCTTCTGCAGCCAATGGTCTACATCAAGAGTGTAGCCACACTGTGATCATCCGGTGATAAATATCATCCTGCGCGCATCTTAGAGCTACAGCAAACACAAGTCTCTATCCAATGGAAACCAAAGTCCTGAAGGAGCAACATCCTTTGGACTAGAGCTTCGATCACTACTGAGCCATGGCCGCTCCTTTCCCTGCTCCCTCCTCACCAAGGAACTAGTGCGGACTGGTTGGTTTACCTAGCACGTCTGATTCGCTCCACGATTATCCACGCCTGAATGATCCATGCCGAGCGGCAAATGCTGTCCATCAATAGTATGCCGAATTACCCCGTGGCGGACATTTAGCCTTGAGAACGCGAAACTTACATGGAGTACAGATGAGCACAATAAGTTATGCTGTTCAGAGACCATAATGACATGGTTATACATACCCTTTTTTCTTTGAATCGCGCCAAGACAGCCATGCCAGATAGGCTGTGACCACACCCTTATTCAAGTCTTGTCAGGGCTACACGCTGCAGTCAGCGTCTGGCTGTGATATTATCATGTATTAACCTTAGTGATTAGATCTATGATCCGCCAGGTGTGTAGGTAGTCGAAGCTTGCTGTAACATGCATCTATCTTGCAGCCATTCAATCATAATTTGTACCTCTGGAGAGCTATA